TTTGTGTCTCGTTTGAAGGGTTTTTGGGACAGTTTTCTGTATTTTTGTAGCTAATTTGCATGATTTGTTTGTGTTATTGTGTTTTTTGGGTGTTTCTTGGTCTTTCTGTGTATTTTTCTAGTCAGTTTTTTTTGGTTTTGAGGAACATTTTGTGTATTTTTGTGGTATTTTCTCTTCCTGTATTTTTTTAGTCCACGTCTATATTTTTTTTTAGTTTGGACTTGTTTTGGGTGTATCTTGGGCTTCTTGTGTATATTTTTGTAGCGAATTATTTATGCTTTTTGTGGTATTTTTGTGTGCTTATGTGGTGAATTCGTATGTTTTTTTTTTTTTTTTGAATTTTTTTTGGTATATCTGTAGTTCTTTTTTGTTTTTTCGGGCTCATTTTTTGTGGATGTTTTTGGCGCATCTCATTGTTATTGTGTAGTTTTTTAGTGAATTAGTGTGTTGTTGAGGTCAGTTTTGTTGTTCATGTGGTTGTGTTGGGTGTACCTTGGTCTTTCCGTGTATTTTTGTGGTTAATTTGTATGTTTTTTTGGTCGTTTTGTGCATTTTACTGGTTAATTATTGTGTTGTTGTGGTCTTTTTTGTTGTTTATGTGGTTTGTTTGGTGCAGCTTAGTCTTTTTTTGTATTTCTGTGGCTAATTGATGTGTTTTTTTGGGGTTATTTTGTGTATTTTCTTAGTTTGTATGTCGTTTAAGTCGTTTTTTGTGGTTCATTTTGATGGTTTTTGATCATTTTGGCTTTTTATTTTAGGTAGTTATTGCGTTGTTGCAGTCATTTTTGTTGTTTATGTGGTTTTGTTTGGTGCATCTTTGTCTTTTTTGTGTATTTTCTTTAGTTTTTTTGTTGTTTAAGTCATTTTTGTGGTTCATTTTGATGTTTTTCTAGTTAATTACTGTGTCGTTGGGGTCATTTTTGTTAATTTTGCCTGTACTGGGTGTATCTTAGTGTTTTTGTGTAGTTTAGTTGTTAATTCATATGTTCTTTTTGTGTAATTTCCTGGTTAGTTACTGTGCTGTCTGTGTCATTTTGGTCGTTAATGTGGTTTTGTTTGGTGTGTTTTGGTCTTTCTGTGTAATATTGTAGTTAATGTGTATGTTTTTGGTCCTTTTGTAAAACTGTGAGCTAAAATGCGAAAGTACTTGTGGCAGACTTACTTAACTTGAGAGTAATAAATGTCAGGGATTGTTGTTTGTGGGTAATAAACTGATTTATTCGTCTCCACTGTGAAGCTCCGAGTCTCTGCAGTGTCACTCTGAGATTTATGTTCATTGTTCGTCCCGTCATGAAAGCAGCGAGAATAAAAAAACGCCGGAGGGTGGAGAGAGGAGGACGTGATGGCTGGAAATGGGACTGACAGCTCTGCCTTACTGCTGGTTATGTAATGAACAACCAGGAAAAGAGGAGCAGGACTGAGCCCAGTGTTTATATGGAAACAGAGTTTTCCTGCAGAGACGCTGAAGTCTGCAGGAAAACTGGAGCAGAGACGAAGCTCTGAGCTGCTGATCGCTGAGCTGGAAGAGTTTAAGTATCTCGGAGTGATTTATCAGAGAGCCTGAGGGCAGTAGAGCGCCTCCATCAGGTGATCTCTGCTGCAAAAACCTCCAGTTTGCTGTAAAACAAAGCACAGGTTTATGGAAAGTACAACGTGCCATAATTCACCTCCGTTTGTACTTATGTAAAATCACTTTTTATCCATTTCAGATCTGGAAAAGAGCTGCTTTTTACACTGTGAAAAGCTGAAAAAGTGCAGCTTTATGTGATGCTTTTAAATTTTGTTCAAGCGTTACACTTGCAATGCTGCTTTTTGCAACATGAAAAGCTGTTAATGTGGCACGTTTTACGGCGTCAAAATAAAACAAAACGTTAAAAAGCAGCACTGTTTATGGTGCTCTGATTTCAACGCAGTTTTTTTATGCTGTCAAAACCTGGAATGATGGTGTGGTGTCAAAAACAGAAAACGCAAGTAACCAAATTAAAAGCTGAAAAAGTGCAGCTCTCTGTGATGCTTTATTTACAGCATCAAAAACGATATTGACCCTTTTCTGGTGTTTAAATCAACAGTGCCGTAGTTCACCTCTGTTTGTGCAAATCAAAACACGACTTTTCATCCAATGAAATGCTGAAATCGTGCAGCTTCTTTGCAATGCTTTTATAACAAGACTGATTTTTGCAACAGGAAAAGCAACTAAAATGCCACTTTTTTATGTCTGCTATGTTTCTATGACTGCTGTTCAATGCTTTACTATAAAAAAAAAACACTGTTTTTGTACTGCACTTTAGTTGACCCTTTCTGGCTTCAAAATCCAAAAACAGGCTTCACAGTGCTCCAACTTAAATGCTAAACGAGCTAAGAAGGTCATGCTTTTTGTTCCAGCTTTTGCCAACTTGAAAAGCGTTTTGATTTGAGTCACAAATTATGGCACTTTTAGCCTTCCATACCGGACGTCTCGTCAGTGTTGACTCAGCAGAGATTCTCTGAACTGTAATTAAAGTGTCGCCCAGCAAACTCAAACTCTCCGTCACGCTGCGGTTTCACAGCTCTGATCTCACCTGTGACAGGTGAGCGTGTCACATGAAGGACAGCATAAAGCACGCTGACGTTTAGGTGGATTCACTGCATGTTTCAGGGCTGCAAATACCAACTTTCTCAGCTGTTTTCTCCATTTACCAGTTAGTGACGTATCAGATAACACTGAGGAGTGCCGGCTGTAGTTTCCCAACACTCGAAACCCTTTAGTTTGCAATCAGATCTGACAAATAAAAGCATCAAACCGTCTCATTTGTGAGGCTTTAGCCAGCAAATGTTTGAAATTTTGCTTGAAAAAATATCTTAGCAGTTGCAGTTGATGCAGGTTTAATAAGTGGATAAACTGATCAGCTGCTAACAGAAGAACTGACGTGCATTTGCTGTAAAAAAAAAATAAAAATAAAATAAAAATCGTGGTGTCAGAATTTAGAATAACATAAACACCAATGCAAGCTTTGTTTCATTAAAGAGAACATTTTAGCATTTTTGCTTCAGAGTTGATTATTTTACTGTTGGTCAATAATGAGGTATTTATACAGAAGATTTTAAGCTACAGACATTGAGCTCAAGTGCTTTTAAAATCCTAGAAAAAATAAAGTACAGTTTCACCACACTATGATAAAAATTAAGGCTCAGACCCTTAGAGTGGTATTAATTATGGATTTGAACCTGGCAGACTTATGTTACAAAAATATTTGCTAAAACACATGAAACCCAAGGATTATCTGGATATTATAGAGTTAATGTATTATATCTTGAAGGTAAATGGAAAAATGTTGATTCTTGGATCCGACCTGGAATCGGTCAGCCCTCCCCAAGACACCCATGAATCCTCTGAAGGAGTTACAAGCCTCAGAGACGGGAGCCGATGTTGTATCTGCTGGCTGGGAGAGTGACAAAAACAAAGACACTGTTAGAAAAAAAGCTCCTTTTAAATCTGGACTAGACTTAACCAGAAGGCACCTGAAGGAAGAAAACACCAAACACCATCCTCACTGTGAAGCATGGAGGTGGCAGCATCATGATGTGAGGCATGGAGGTGGCAACATCATGATGTGAGGATGCTTCTCAGCAGCAGACCCTGGAAGGCTTCTCAAGGTAGAGGGTAAAATGAATGCAGCAAAGTATAGAGAACTCCTGGAGGACAACCTGATGCAGTCTGTAAGAAAACTGGGAGAAGATTTGTTTTCCAGAAAGACAATGAGCCAAAACAAAAAGCCAAAGCTACACAGGAATGGTTTGAAGACACCAAGGTGAATGTTCTAAGGTGGACGAGTCAGAGCTCAGACCTCAAACCAACTGAGAAGTTTTGTCTGGACTTAAACAGATCTGTTTGCTCATGATGCCTGTGTAACCAGACAGAGCTGTAACAGTTGTACCAAGAACAATGAAGTGTAAATGCAGTGTCCAGATGTTCAAGTGGTTTCAGACCTATCCACAAAGGATCAAAAAAAGAAAAACCAAACTGTTTAATGTTTTGTATGTCTTATTTTCTCTGTACCAAATAGTGGTTTTTGTGTGCCGGTGCATCACTACCACAGTTCCATGCTTGTAGTTTGTATAGAAGTGCGTGTAAGTCTGCAGCTTTGCACTGAAACTGTGACTGCAGTGTCGCTGCCTCGGGCCGGAAGTAGGATCGATTAATCGTGCAACTGTCACATCTGATCTGAGAGCTTCTTCAGGCAGGAGAGCTGCTCTGATTCCACTCTGCTACATGAGCTGATCTGTTTTTCTGCTTTATATTCCCTCTCAGGCGTTCAGCGTGAACCACATCCTCCTCGGCAGCAGCTCTACAAACCTCCCTCCTGACCCTGGAAATCACATCTCCCCTAAAATAAAGACTGAGGAGCAGTTTTACATCTCCGCCGGCTCACAGGAGCTTTTCAGTTTCCTGGCTGTCAGCTGAGCGTCAGAGGGAGGAAGTGGAGAGTCTCACCTGAGGCAGGTATCCAGAGCTCAGCATGAGGCTCTGAGGAGGCGGCAGGTTTCCATTAAAGCCGGTTTGAACTCGAGGAGGATGGGGAAGGAGCAGGACCTGCTGCAGGCGGTGAAGAGCGGAGACCTGCTGTCCACCCAGAAGCTGCTGTCCAAGCTGAAGACCAACCGCAACAGTAAGTCCACTTCGTCCTGCTGCTGGTGTTCTGGTTCAGCTGAAAGAAACATGACGCTGTGTAGCTTCAGAGGTCACACATGTTTAAGTTCACGTCTGTCCAGGTCGTGTTCAGGCTGCTGGAATAAACTAATCCAGGTGTTGTGCAGGTAAACGTCAGAAACACATGCTGCGTGTTCGGATTAGAGACATTCCTCACGGCTCGTTTCACAGTGGATCAAACTGAAATTTAAATTTCGGCGACTTAACTGCTAACGTTAGCTTGTTAAGCTAATGTAGAAGCTGAAACATTTTGTTCTTTTGGTATTTTGTTGAGGCTAACAGAACAGTGGATGTTTTATTGTCTTGACTAACATTGTCTTGTGTAGTTTAATGTCTTGTTTAGCTAAGGTTAGCTGGTTAGGCTAATGTAACAGCTAACAATATGTTGTCACAATGTCCACACACTGAAATACTCCTTTTACTATTGGTTGACCGAGACAGCTGCTAAGGTTAGCTAGTTAGGCTGATGTAGCAGCTAACAAGATATCATCCAAATGTTTACATCTTGAAATGTTTGTGCTACTGTTGGTTAACTGACACAGCTGCTAAGGTTAGCTGGTTAAGATAATGTAGCAGCTAACAATGTGTTATCACAATGTTCACATCCTTCAGCTGGCATAGTGGGTCAAGTTATGTTATTTAGGCTAGTTGTATCTTGTTTAGACTAATTTAGTAGCTGATACCTTGTGCAGTCTCATGTATTGCTATCGTTATCTTGTTTAGGCTAACTTATTGGCTATATAGTATATTGTTTGGGCTAATGTTATCAAATTTAGGCTAGTGTTATCTTGTTTAGGCTAAATAGTGGCTATATAGTATATTGTTTGGGCTAATGGTATCAAGTTTAGGCTATTGTTGTCTTGTTTAGGCTACTTAGTGGCTACATTATCTTGTTGAGACTAGCATAGAGGCTTATGTTCTGTTGCTTAGGTAAATGTCTTGTTTATTGTAGCATAGTGGCTATCATATTGTTTGGACTGACATTATATTGTTTGGGCTAATGTTATTTTGTTTTGGCAAAATAGTGGCTACATTATCTTGTTGAGACTAGCATAGTGGCAGACATAATGTTAGGTTAACGTTATCTTGTTTAGGCTAATAGTATTTTGTTTTGGCTAACAGCGGCTTTCAGTTGAGTTACAGAAATTATGGTTTCACTTTCATTTTCGAGCATAATATTTATAGGAAACTGTGAATTTGTGAACTGTTTTATGAGTTAAAACAATGCATTTCAGGTCAGAACGAAGCTCTCGGGGGCTCCAGGTTCAGTCTGGTGTTAATTTTTTTCTGCGTGTTGCAGTAAAACCTGCAGATCATTTAGCTGCAGACAGAAACCTCAGAGGTGTTGACTCACTTAAACAAGCTTTCTGCTGAGTTTAGTCTCCTGCTGCTGTCACACCCACTGAAAGCGAGTGGATGATGATGCCGGCGGTTCTCCACAGATTGCTGCCTGATGAATATTTAACGCCTTTATGTGGGATGTGAAGGTGTTGATGAAAGTGTGAAGCGGTTCTGACCCAAATATAAGTTCATCCTGACGGTAGTTCGCGTTTGATGTCAGAAGATGACTTGTTTTCAACACTTTGAGCTGACAGACTCGAAAACACACGCCATAAATATGCATGAGGAAACCAGCTAGCTTAGCAACATTAAGGCAAGAAATTTACCCACAATGCAACACTCTGTTTATATCACTCGTTTGTTGTAAATACATAAATGTCAAGCTGTCTCGTGTAATTTAGACTCCTTTTTTACAACTATATTATACCTCTTTACAAAATACAAAACTAGTTCAGAACCTACCTGAACTGTAAAAAAAAAACAAAAAACTTTTTTCAACAGTTTTTGACTTAAATATTTTTTAAACGATTTACTGTTAATTTACAGATTTCCCCTTTTTGTTAAATTACAGAAATGTCATTATTTTGCAGATATTTGCTTTTATTTGAAAGAAAATTGATGGAAATTAAGAATTGAAAAATGGTAAATGAAGTTTCCCTGTTTTGTTAAACTACACATAGTAGCTATTAAAATCACAGGAAAAGTATTAATTTACATTTTGACCCTAAAAATGTCTGTAATTTTATGAATAAATATATATTTTTAAAAAATGTTTGACTGTAACATGTCAATATTTTTACTGTTTAAATCAGCAAAAAATCTCATTGTTTTACTGAAATTTGCTTTAATGTATAATAATATTTTTAAACTGTTACAATAATACAATAATAATAATACAGTACAGAAAAAATATTACTTTACATGTTGACTGTAAAGAAAACATACAGTAAATAATGTCCAATTCAAAAAAAAAAAATTAACAATAGTTTGTTTTTGCAGTGTATTTAGGTACCATACTGTATTTAAATAAGCTTAGAAATATCATTTTTTTAATTGAAATTGAAATAAAGTAAAAAAATAAATTGATATTTAAGCTCATATTTATTATGAAAATACTCAATATAAGACAGATAAATAAATCAGGCAGCTTTTATAATCAATAATCACTTCTGCAGTCTTTGTAATCCAACAATCTGATTTTAGGCTTTGAATGATCTTAAATATGATTTTGACACGTCTTAAAATTGTGTTTAAAATTGCGTCAAGTTTGGTTTTTAAATGTGTTTTGGGGTAAAATGTAAATATCTCCAGCAAAAAAAAGAAATCTTTTTTGAGAAATAAGATGTGATAAAATTCTGTATACTATGATAAATATATCTACATAATACAATAATAGTATATTATCATAAGATCAGATAGTTTCTGGTAACATGACTTTTATTTGTTATGGGTAATTTGAATCCAGCTGAACTCTTGTGCAACAAGGAGTTTTGCAGCTACAACGTGATTTTCAAAGCAAAAGCCTCTCCTTAGTTGATCCCTGGTTTTTTTTTTATTGCGCAAAGTTGCAGAAACAATTTTTTCTCACAGAAAGCCTAAGAAGTAAATGATGAGATTAGTGAGTTTAATTGAACTGAGCTGACTGTAAACAGCAGAGATCCCACAGCGTCAGATAAACATAGATGAACACCACCCACCCCACAGTGATATAAGTCCTGTTAATCCTGGCCCGGCACCATCTGGGAGATCTGGGTGATACCGAAGCACCAGATGTCAAGAGTCTGGGTCACAAATACAAATAAAAATCCCCAAATATGGAAATAATGTTTTGTTCATGGGCTGAAAAGCCTCTCGACAGGTTTGTTTCCAGCCTTGAGCAGCTTCATAGTGTACATTTGTTTAATCTTTTAAAACTCGATTTCACAAAGAAAGAGTCTTTAATCTCAAAGTGAAGCAGATTTATTCAAAGTAATGTCAATAAAATAAAAATAACTACTCACTCTCTTTTAAAAATGGAGATTATCTGAGTGCAGTGAATGTGTCTCAGTGACTGTCGTGTAAAGACACCTGGTGAATCAGTACTTCTGGATAGAACTGCACCATTAAGACAAAAGAACACTCCAAGTAACTCTGTGAAAAGGTTACTGAGAAGTATAGGTCAGGGTATGATACAGGAAAGTTTGACAGTCAACAAATATCTTCTTGAAATGGAGGAGAGAGAAGTGAAAACTTGTTGGACAGAGCAACAAGCAGAGACCAGTGAGGGAGGCCACCAAGACACCGTGAGAAGCTGTACATACAACTGTTCTGTTCCTGCTCATGTTCTTCACCAGTCCAACATTTTATGGGACAGTGACAAAGACACTGTTGAAAAAAGCTCATATTAAATCTGGACTGGAGTTCATCAGAAGGCATGTGGGAGACTCTGAAGTCATCTGGAGGAAGGTTCTTTGGTCTGATGAGACCAAAATGGAGAATTTTGTCAGACTAGATGCTATGTTTGGTGAACGCCAAACACTGCACATCATCACAAACACACCATCTCCAGTGTGAAGCATGGAGGTGGCAGCATCGTGATGTGAAGTATGGAGGTGGCATCATGATGTGAAGCAT